ACTTCAAACGTAATTCCGTCATCTTTCGTGGGAAAAATTTCCCTTTCTATTGTCACTTTCCTGTCTTAATTTTTCTTTTTAAAGTAGTACTCTGCGATGGCGATCCTGCTGCCGCCCTCCTTCTCGTCTTTCACGACCCCCCCGATATCCTTTTGCTCATCTGCGCTTGCTGCTGTCAACAAACAATTTCTGTCTCTCGCCTGCCCTGGCGTAATTGGAGGCAAGCCGTCGAGCAGCAGCAGGGGGTTGGAAAAGGGTTGGGACAGGCCGGGGTAATCTTGTTGCCGTAAGGTGATTGATTCAATGGGGATTGGAGGGGGTAGGGATGGTGGTGGTTGGGGCGCAACACGAGGCGCAACCTTCCTTCTTGGTCGGCCCTCCTCCGGCCCCGGCCCGCCGATCGCCCCGGCGGCTCTCAAACTCCTGTTCACATTCCTGCTGCTGCTCCTGTAACGGAGAGAACACTGAAACTGAACACACCCCCCGCGCACGTCTGCGTGCCTCTGGCCTGCCTGGGCGCCCAGCCTGCCCTGCTGCACACCCGCCGTCAAAGCAGCGGGTGCTGGTAGCAGCAGCATCGGACAACTTTAGTGCGCTTGCTGTGGAAAACATGGTTGCTGGCTGCCGGTCGGTACATGTTTTCTCCTTCGTAGGGTTCGAAGTTTCCAAAATTTCCGGAAATTTCCCGAAAGTATTCAAAATAAAAAAAAAAAACTTCCGAGGCCTGGGAATTTTTCCCATTTCCCCCCGGAAATTTTTTCCTGAAATTATCCGGAAACTGTCCAGGGCTTCCAACCCTACTCCTTGATTCCTATTGGCCTTTTATTATTCCAGCACTCCTTCCAGTTTTATTCTCACCTCCACGGAGTCGCGTTACACCTGTCGTGTCCAGCGCGCCTCCTGCTGTCCCTCAGCGCCACACCCCATCACCGCCTGTCGTTGTGTGTCCGCGTGTTTGACGCCATCATCCCCCCCCCCTCCCCATCCAGTGCACGGTGATTACCTGTGACAGTGCAGCTGTATTGGCAATTCGATGACCGGTAATAACTGGTGCGCTGGACGAGCTGACAGAGAGGCAAATGAAATTATAAAAAGAAGTCATCAGCGATAAAAGCGATGTAAAAGGGTGAATACGAACGCGCGTAATTATTTATTTTCTCCCAATACTCTGCTGAAACTAACTAGCCTCTTATTGTATTCATGTTGAAAGTAGGCACGGCAAGTCGTAATAAATTATTTCTTTTAGTTGCAACTTTCCGCTTTAGCTACTTGCTTTTGTAAAAATAACTACAACGAACCAAAGTGCTCCGCTGACGTCGTTCGCAGTGCGCAGGCTGACGATCGACGCAGTAGACTCCCCGCGTCACAGTTTGTGTCGTTACGGCCTAGGGCAAAAGCGGGAGAGGGGAGGTTGGTTCGAGTTAGAGGAGGAGGGGGGGTGATCAGGTGGCTGAGTAGGTGGGCGTGCATCGGAAACCTATAACTCGATACCCGATGGCCCTCGACAAACAGTTGCAATGTGGTCGGGGGGAGCGAGGAGCAGCGAACGCGGCGGTGTGGCGTGGCGTAGCGTGGCCATCGCTAGTCCGGGACAGATTGGAGCGTGAAGGTGCGGGGCGCTCCGGTATGGCGGCGGGGCTTGCTCCCGCTGGCCCCCTGGCTGTCCCGTTTGCCCAACTTCACTGTAAAAAGTTTTCGTGATTTTACGAAAAAAAATGTTGCGAAATGCTTCGTAAAAAATAATTTACGAAAATATTTCGTGTGTCAATTTACGAAACGTTTCGTAAAGTTACAAATATATTTCGTAACGAGTGAAAATTTTCGTCATAAAATGAGACAAAAATTATAACAATTTTCATACCGCCTAGATGGAGCTTTGGATTTTACAAAGCGATTCGTAAAATAACGACGTATCGTAAATGGTTAAAAACGAAGTATTTCGTTATAAAAAATGTTGGTTAAATTACGATAATTGTTTTAACAGTGTGGCTCTGGCCGACTGCTCTCCCGACATTAGAGGGAATAATGCACACTAAATCCAGTGCTCTGCTGCGTTGAGATGGAGACTTCAAGATTTGAGCTCCCCCCCCTCCCAAAAAAAGGAACAAAAAACAGACACAACCTCAATAAGGGCTTAAGATTATCTATTTCGCACACGTGCGTGACTGTTCTGTATTTTTGTATTGTTTCAAGTACTTTTGGTAATTTATTTCGGCGTACAGGGCATCTTTTCTTCTTTCGATTGTATTTTTCCGAGCTGTCGTGCACGACGACGGGTCCTATGCCCCGTGTCTTTACCTCATCACTGCTGTGGCTCCGGCTCGGGGGAGCAGCAGGCCTCCAATCATGTGCCTCGCCTGCCTTTACTGCTTCCCCTGCTCATTGCCGTTACCTCCCCCCCCCCTTCTCTCTCTCTCTCTCTCCCTCTCCCTCTCTCGCCCGCACCCGCCGCACACTGATGAGCCGCTGTCTCTCTCACTCATCTCATTTCCTCCTTCGTTTTGTATTTTTCGCGGGGCGCGCGCGGCGGAATTTAATTAGGCCGGCTCCTCACTCGACGGACAGACGGACGCTGGCCTTGGTGCCCCATATTTGGCGCCACAATTAGATTTGGCCGTGTCGCGCGCTGGCCGGCGGCACTGATGCTCAAAGGCAAGAAGAATTTTTTTAAAAAAGAGGGGG